GTGCAAATTTGATTGATATCGGTTCGGTAGTTTAGGAGTCCATTGAGGACAAACACGAGATTTATATATATTAAGATTTTAATACTTAGATATTAATAGACAGTACAAAGACAAAAGAGTTTTATAAGCGTCATAGACGTAAAATGTCACGTTCAGCTCATTCCTGACTTAAAGTTCAACATATGAAATTCTTTGTCGTAGAATATCAAATTTCATTCAAATTCTTTCAAACCGACTTTAAATCGTTTGAAAATCAAAGTAGCGGTAAAAGTGAGTAATACTGGAGCGTCGCCACATTTCGAGTCAAATCTCTCATTGAAAACCAAATTTTGCCAAGTGTCCTTTCTCGTGATTTGCATAAGCAAAGCCTTATGCAGGGCCAGACTCTTGCCATTTGGATGAAAATAATATATTTACCAATGGCGCTATAGCCTTTTAGGTCTTGGCCTCAGATTTATTTATCTGATCCGTGATCAATTCTTATGGGCAAGTAGGTGATCAACCTTCTGTGCCTGACCATGCCGTTGACAATTTGGGTCTAAGGCGTGCCCGGTTTCCTCACAATGTTTTCCTTCACCGTACGAGCGAGTGTTATATGTGCACATAGATAGAAAATCTATTGGTGCACAGCCGGGGATTGAACCTACGACCCCAGGGACGTCGACGTTGCTACTTCAGTCGCACGTTGAAACCTAATATATTCTCAAAATATTATTTTATTAGATTATTTATTAAAGATTTTAAATTTCATTTGCGCAATAATTCTTTGTGCAATAAAGAGAAACATCGCTAGGAGCAGCATGTCTAAAATCAACAAATTTCCGACGGCATTGTCAGGCACAGAAGGTTGATCACCTACTTGCCTATAAGAATTGATCACGGATCAGATAAATAAATCTGAGGCCAAGACCTAAAAGGCTATAGCGCCATTGGTAAAAAATTAAATAAATTACTTGTTTACTCTATAGATAAAAATTATGGATGACAGGAAGATATGTTTTAGTTTATTTTTGCATCCCTTTGCCTAGTACTACTATCAAACCCCCACATTGGAGTCGTAAATGACTACCTCGGTTATTTACGATTCCCTTGCTATCATTTTTAATATTGAAAATTGACTAGATAGGCTTCAATAACCACATATACAAGATTATTTAATTTTTTGTGCATACGCAAAAACCGATAAAAAATCATACTAATATATGGATTCCAGTTACTGGACTCAAACTCAAATTCATTAATTAAGTTTATGGAGTGACAAAAAAAGTACTGTCTACCGGGAGTGGAACCCTGCCGGATTTACCTCATGGAAAACCAAACGCCAGCTAAACACAAGTGAAATTCCTATTTAAATATCTCCGAATACCTCTCTGTTTCTTTCAGGTTAAGTTTTATCGCGAATTGTGTCGAACTTCAAATGGGTGTGGGAAAGAACCATTTGTTAGAATTAATGCTCGCAAACACAATTTATAAGCATATTTATGGCTTCCCTTAGCCTCTAGAATGTCACAAGTACCTAGTTACATCATCTGTGAATACTAGCTTGGAATGGTTATATAAAAAATAATACAGGTCAGATTATACCTGATTTATGCTGTATAGAAATATTTTGTAATAATTAAATTCCTGTAATATGTATGACAACTTGACTCGAAAAGCTGGATTGGGTCATAAAATGCCGATAAAACCAAAGTAATTACCAATTCCAGAAAGGAAATAATATTATTCTAGAATATGTAGCTTATAAATACTTGTATCTCGGTCAGACAATATCTATGACCGATGCAACAACAAAAGAAATTGTCGTAAAAATAGAAAGTTCGGAAGTGCTTTGAAATGGCGTGATTTGGAGGAGCCCTTTGCCAAAACATGTCACACAGATGTATAGGAATGAATGAGATTATAGAAATATAAATGTATTTTTAGTTTACATAAAATCAGAAATAAAAGGCTTTTATTATTAACTAACTGTTCCCTGCCACGCTTCGCTGTGGCACATTGTGATTGAATGGTTGAGAAATGAGAAACAAAACAAAGAAAACATTACATATAAGTTTAATTTTGCAATACTTCTGGAAAAAAATTAAAAAATAAGAAAACAAAAAAATAATGATAATGATAAAAAAAAATTATTAAAACAATCCTTGATGCGGATTATATATATTAACTTTTTGAGTTTTTGAAGCGTACACAAACCAACATAATATTTTTATATATACATATAGATATAATTTGTATGAACCTGTTATAAAGGAAATCAAACTAGAACGAAATAGATCTGTAGCTCTACTATGAGTGGGAGAAGCGTTAATATCATTCGTAAATATAGCTAATCCTATCCATAGGTATTTTGGTAAATTAATCTTTAAATCATTCTACTATTACATGGTCGATTCTTTGTATTTTCTTTTACAATATAATATCAATAATTAGTAGACTTTCGGCAATAACAATAGAATAATTTAACAAATGGTTTTTTAATGAAAGAGGTTTTGCTTATTTGATAGTAATGATCTACCAATCTGCGCCGATACTCAGTAACATCAATATTTTAAAAGGATTATTATTATTACTAATAGTTTAAATTAGTTATAAAAACCAATTAAAATTTACTTATTAATGTCTTGTTCAAAATACTAAATATTAAAATACAATAAATAAAAAAATATTTTTTCTAATCGTAAAGAAAAGTATCAAATTTCAGCGTGTTTTTGTGCGAAAATCAATGTAATACTACTATTTTATTTACGTATTGCTTTGTCTCTTTTCACAATGCATTTATGCTGTAATGAAAAGAGATAGATGAGGGTTTTAGAAAGGGTTAGAATTTTAACTATCGTTTTATGAGTAACTCGCACTAATATTCACTGTTATTACAAAGCTATGTAGAATTTATTCATGTGCTATGAAAATTATAAAAAAAGTACATTATTAGAATCATACGAAAGCACACGACTTTTTAATATACTTAGCATCGATGAGGGCTACATACGCCCTCTAAACTATAAAAACCAATTTATAATTTTCCAAACAATAAATCAAACATGAAATTCGTTAAAATAAATCTTTATTTTTTCTCTAAAAATATTCGCATTTAATACTGATCAATATAAGTACATAATGGCAACAACACATACAACATGATCACTAAATAATACATTAATCAATACAGCCCAGAACAAACTAGGATAAAAACAACAACGTCTAGTTACTAAGCACATCCATGTATTCATTTCATAAATATACCCTATTTAAATTCATAATATCAGTCTGATTGCACTCTTTTAATTAAATTACTCTTTCCTCTACTACTATCAAATAGTGATGAAAAGAGATGGAGATAGTTAAAATAGTGCAACTCGATTGATTTATGATGATTAAACATTATCTTCTCATTTATAAATTATATTTTATTACACAATTTGCATAACTCGACGTTTCGTACGTTACAACAGTCTTGGTCAGCGATAACTAAAGGTATAATGGACACATTCATATTACAGCCGTATTTAGTCATGCATTAGGAATAGGTTCCATAGGAAATTATAGTTCACAGAAGATGGAAACAAGTACTAGATATTTTAAATAGTTCCTTAAATCAATTAGATTTCGTAGCTGAGTTGAGTTCCTTATATTATATATGTTCTATATATGTTTATATTTTGTGAGCGTGTCAATGTTTTTTACTAATAGTAATTTTAATAGTCGACTCTGAGCGTCGATGCGTGTTTAAAGTTGATACTTTGTACATTAAAAATGGATTATTATAGAATATAATATCTGCATGACCTTCCAAACAAAACGCGCTATCATTTTCTTATATAAATTTTCATGCATGCGTAAAACATATAATAAATTCATGATTCAGTCATCAATATTATATATAATCACAGTTAAGTTTAATTCATAATAATTGCACTTAAATTTCTTAACTAGTCCTATTTAAGTTTTGATTGGGTTAATGCTACTTCTGATGTACGTCGCTACACCATTGGAGTGAGTAAAAATGTATTTAATAATAATAATTAGTTCATTTGTTGCTTCAAATTTATTATAAAAAACAATATACCAAAATAGTAAATAAAAATACGTAGTTACAAAACTAAATGTACCCGTATTAGAAATTTCTTTAAGAAATACATTACTAAATCCTAAAATTTTAGGTCCGCATTCCAAAACGCGAATGAATCTATCAAAGCGAAACCACCCATGTTCCCGTGGAAACACCCTTGGTTTAGTTTAGTCGTACATCAGATTTAGCATTATAATTAGTATGATTCACAGCTCTTATTAGAAATAAATAACACTCAAAAACTATTTTGTCTTTAAGACTGTCTTTTTATATCTATGTTATGCCATAAAAAGTACATCCGTTTTAAGATGTTTAAAAATTTTAGTATTACAAAACACTGGTTAACCATTATTTGCGGATTATACTAAGATAAAAGATAGATAAGCCGTTTAGAACGCGTAATTTAATTTCTGCAAAGCTGAATAGAGTCCAAAAATATAATTTTTAAATAATATGGGTAACAAATATACTCTTAAAAATTTTGTTGCCAATTTCATACAAATATTTTAAGCGAAATTTGTAATTGCGCCTGCGCATTGCGTCGACTCAATTTTGAAAAATACGCCAATAGAGCGCACCTGAAACACCTTACATTGCACTGGTGTCTAATTGCACACGTCACCCGATTTGAATTGTCACTTTGACAATTTACTTTCATAAATTAGTGTTATGGGTTTATTGACGATTTAGCGTGAATACAATACTAGACTAAATAAAATATTTGCATAAGAAAACAAATTCACAATTTTTAAGGAACTTTGTTAATAGTGGTCATGGTAGTCAACCCACAAAAACGTTCAGTAAGCAAAGTTAATTTACAAAAATCAATACTTCATCTGAACATACATAACCCGTTATACAATTAAATATAACACCCTGCTTATATACACTTATATACAAAATTGGCACACATCACTTCCTCTACCTATCATAGCCTAGTTTTCATCGGCTCTATACTGTCAATATAATATATTTTATTACCAGCAAGTCCGGTCTGAGTTCTTTGATCCTCAACTATGGTATCACACGTTTTATCCGAAGCTTCATTTTCCTCTGAGGTTCTCTCCCTATCTGGCGTTGTGAGTGTATGTGATTTTCCCGGGAATTTGCGGGCCATTCTCGCCACTAACGGATGGAGAAGTCGCTCGTCAAATTTGTCCGATTCCTGGTTCGTTAGATAGCCAACTATTACTCCACAAAGTACGCAGACTAAGGTCCCTATTACGGCATACCACATGTAGGATATTGAGTAGAATTTCATTAAGCTGTCAAACCTGAAACAAAAGGCACCATAGATATAAAATCGATAGACAATTATACTCTATTAATAAATAAGACTAGTATCGTACATTTACAAGAAATGACACTATCGGATTTAATCTGTATAATTATCAGAATTTGAAATCTTTGTAATGTTGGCTAAAATATTAAATATGACTACTGAATTAAGTTTTGGTCGGAATAACTACGAAACATAAACTTATTCATTTTTAAATATAAATAGGTGAGAAATAAGCCCACGGGTTATCCATAAAAAAACCCGGAACCATTTACACTCATTTTATAAGTGGATGCATTGCCGGCCTATACGGATGCACCCGGTCGATTGCACAGTTTGCTAGTTTCCAAAAAGCTAGCGCCCAAGCCAAGCCTGGAATTACTTCGAAGGAGATGATGCCAGGCAATTTCTTCTTTTTCTGTTCTTCAGGCAAAGATCTTTTCCTACTAAAGAAACATGCATAAGCTTTTCGCCTTAAGGCTGTGTCAAGACTGATACTTACAGTATGTTATCAGAAACGGCCTTTTTTGCAGTATGACTACTGTCAATAGCTTCGAAGACAGGAGCGTAACGCGACAGTGTCTCATTGACAACGACAGCCATATGTCGCGGATTCAGTGCTTGGGCAGTTGCATTTGGACAGGTCTGAAAATATTTTGGACTTTTATGACTTCGGGATTAAAGTATAAGTTAAAACATGGTAAACTTTTCGTAGTTTTTCTGGGAAAAATAATGATTAGGACTTGAAATAGAAGCAAATCTAATAACGTTCAAAATGAACGAACACTTAAGTCAAAAATCACGGCCAAGCTCAAGCTTACCGTAAATTTAATAGCAATGTCGTGTAGAAAGTATTTTATGTAGTGACATCAGAACTTTAGCATTGGAACTTTCTTAGTGTCTATTACTAACTAGAAAGTGAGTATTAGAACGAGGTATAGTTTGTACAGAGTAGCCCTGCTGGTTTGAATCTGACATTTATAAATTTTGATATAATATATAATAAATACTTGTAGACCAATGTTAGGAATGACCACGTGTTTCGACCTTCACAACTTGGAGCGAATAAATTTAGATTTAGGTTTTTTGATGTTCATAATTACATTACATCTAAATTAATTATAATTTTTTACTGATATTTTAAGAGGAAAGATTGGTATTATTGTATCTTTCTAACAAAAAAAAAGGGTTATGTACGCGCGTAAGAAGTTATACTTCTTTGGCATTATTAAAAATAGTTTTTGATTGCATGAAAATAATTAATTACAATTAAATAATCAAAGACTGGAAAAGGAGTCATTATAGTCAATAAAGTTCAGTTTACATTTGAAAAATTAAATAAATAATTATTTATTATTATTCTCTTACATTAAGTGTCTAAGTGTCATTAAGTTCTATTATTATTCAAATGTTGTTTTTAAATTATGTCCAATGGCGTAGCATCTTCCGTGGTCAACTTCATTCTGTTAATTTTGTGTCACGGTGCGCGCGCATCGTAATATTTCACTCTCATCAATTTTTCATAACGCACCTAAAGAAGTATAACTTCAAAAACTCAAAAACAATTGGACGGATTTCAAAATTCTTTTACAGTCATATATTATTTAATAGTGTGACTTAATTAGGAACATACCTCAACGGACAGTGGCAGCATATCTACTTTAGTATTAACATAAAGAAGTCTCCCCATGGCCATCCATATCGTCATAACATGAGAGACAATCATGCCACATAACGCCCCCTTTCCATTCGCCATAGGGAATAGGGTTGCCAGCAAAAACACACCCAGCAGCGCCCCAGAAGTCGCCGATGTTACCAGCATATTAGCTTCTACCACCCCATTGACGAACCGTACGAACAGCGACATAATCATTATAATTATCGCTGAAATGAGTTTTGTATTATTAATGGTTTATTGTTTACTTAAAAAATCTTCAAAAAAAAAAGTCCCCGTTGTTTTTATTTTTTTTTAATTAATAATCAATTATTTTTTAAATTAATTAATTAATTAATAAATAATTAATTTCAAACCAATTAAAATTAAATAATACCTTTCCGCCGAAGATGTCTGATACTGATTATGAATAAACAACAATCTAAATATCATAACACAAATTTCAGAAAATATTTATTAAAATAGTTTATTTTATTTTTTTAATAAAAAAATAAATCCATTTGGTGCCAGATCTATAGGTTTATTGTGCTTTTTCTATGTAGAAATCTTATTTTAAGCACTCACAATAGATAATGCCAATAATCTTGATGGCAGTCAATTGTTGCTTGTCAGTGATGTCCCTGAAGGCTGGCGCTGATGAAACGAAGTCTTCCCATGTAACGGTTGATAGCGAGTTAATATTCGAGACAAGAAAACTGAAATTAAAAAGTACAATTTAGTTTATCTTAATTATTGTTTTGCCCTAGTCTACGGCTTTTTTTTTTTATGTTACGGGCAGAAGGCTCATCTGATGTTAAATGATACCGTCCCCCATGAACACTCGCACTGCCAGAAGGCTCGCAAGCGCGCTGCCGACCTTTTAAGAATTCATACGCTCTTTTCTTGAAGGACCCTAAGTCGAATTGGTTCGGAGCACTTCAATCTACAGCTTGCGACTCTCATCCCTGAGGTCATAGATCCTATACCCGGCTGTGCACCAATAGTCTTTCTGTCGATATGCTCATATAGCATCGTGAGTAAACCGGCATGCGTCAGCCGTGTGAGTCGTGGGAAAGCAAAGGAGGCTGATCACACACTGACAGAGTGACAAAATATCATGAAACAGATAAAGAAATCTGAGGGCCAGAGCTTTTTTTTTCAGAAGAAAATATAAGACCGTTTAGAATGCTAACTCAGTAGTAGTGTTTGAATTTCTGGTGAAGAAATAATTATTTCGATAGGTAGACGTACAATGACCAACTTTCCTTAAAAAAGATCAATGAAGTCCCAGTGCATAACGGGATAATCAACCATTTAGTAAGTGTATGATACCTAATATTGTTATTCCCATTCATTATAAAGATGCGTGTAAATCAGTTCGGCCATTTGGAAAACTTGAATATATAGGTATGACATTTTAATTCAAACTCACCTTAGCGCTCCATTGAAGATACTCCCCAAAAACAAACCAAGCATTCCTGGCAGAAATGCAAATTGATCTTGCACATAAAACGGCAGAACTTCATCTGGGGCACTGATTTTTCCACTCATAAGAGGATCACAGTATCTATATAGGGAATATAAGGCCATCCCGACCACCCAGGATAGGCTGAAGAGGACAGAAACTGCTGGAACATTCGAGAAGAGAATCCTTCTGACTTTAGCTTCGCTGGACATGGAACAGTATCTTTGTACGAAGGTCTGTTGACAGCCATATATTGATACGGACATGAAAAGCTGACCGATTATGGCGGAGAATGTGTCCACGCGGACTGTTGGGTCCCAAGTGAAGCTGGAAATAGGGAAATGTTATTAATATAGGTTTGACATTCTTTTTTAATTTTTATAGAAGATATTATTATCTCTGGAAGTATCACACTAATACTAAAAAATAACTTTTTTAAATGTTTTTAAACTATGTGATCATATGAAGCCGTTTAGTCATTCGCAAATAATATACTTCATTTATAATTCATGTAACTATGTAGCAACTAGCAACATCTACAATCTACAGTTAACATGATTGCGATGACGTCAAACTCTGAAACGCGTTAACGAAGTTATACCGACTGCTGAGAATATATAAGACTTCTTGACCTTACCCACTTGGGGCCTTCGGATCAGACTAATCGAGGATCTTCCGATTAGGTTAGAGGACTGTCCACTATAAATTCGCAAAAAATATTTTAATAATAAATTATATTCTTAGTTACGTTAAATCACACAATAATTATTTTAAAATAGTTGCAATTATGTAATTTTAAATATTATCTTCTTTAAATATTTGAGGAAAAAAAGCTTATTATATTATAAAATTACGCTTGTATCGTTAGCATTCTCTCAAATAAATAGTTATTTATTTACCGTTTTTGCGTTACATAAACGTGACAAAATATTAAAATTTACTAAGAGTAACCTAGTGCGTTCTCTATTTATAAACTATTTAGTAGCTTTACCATGTATTTTACATAAGGTAATCATAATGTTTACTGTGGAGGATAGTGTACAGTTCTCCAAACTAAAGGGAGGATCGTTGACCCGTCTAAGCACTGATCGAAGGCCCCATTGGCCAAGGTCAAGAAGTTGTATATATCATTAGCGGCCGGATTAACTTCGTTAGCGCGTTATGACGTCATTGCAGTGATTATAGTCTCTAATTGTAAGTGTCGCTACATTACGTAAAATATTTAAGTACATTTACGTGTAACATTAGTCAAATTTATGGTACCTACTGCATTGAAACTCAAGAAAGGAGATATAAGAATTGTGACTTTTTAAAACCCTCTTCTAAATATATTTGTATTTATTAGTTACTATACAGCCTTGCGATTCTGTAACTCACTTTTCGAACTCTCACAGCGGTTTTCGCAGCGGCGGTCGCGCTCAAATCAGTCGTAAAGCAGTCATTTTACGATTTGGCATTCTGATAAACAATAAACTACAAGTTCCATCCTTAAGAAAACCGCTGTGAGAGTTCGAAAAGTGAGTTACAGAATCGTAAGGCTGATTTTGATGTGAATAAGTAAATACTCACTTGAAAAACTTCATTCTTCCACCATCGATGTTATCTTGAAGGACTTGTGCGGGTCCCCCAGATTTTATTGTAGCTTGCATGATGAAAGCACCACTTACAATCACCATTGTCAACGTTTGAATTACATCAGCCCTGAAATATTAAAAGAGATTTAATAAGTAAGGTAACACAAAAGTATTTTTTTAATTAAATTGTATTTATGCATGCATGGGCACATTCGCTAGAAATTAAAGTACGAACAAAGACCTATTCGAGTTAATTTATTGTTTAAATAAAGTGTGCTCAGTGACAAACATTGTGTCAATGATTCTTTAAAATATCCTTGTAAACCAAATACGTGGCCACTCTCGCCTGCTCTACGCCCTTGATTTGGGAACTGATTCATAGTAAATTATTTAATTTGTTTTCTAAATATTGACGTTCATAGTTACCAATATGAATTGATAAATTTTGAATGTAATTTGTTCATAACACAACAAAACATCAATTAGCCTCAATCGCCGTCAACGTGCTTTTATGTTTAGGTGTTCAAATATTTTTACTAACCTTATTGCTGCCGCCAACCCGCCTAACAAATTAAAAACCACCGTGACCACAGTCAACGCAGCAGCGGACGCCCAGTGGGGCAAGCCGAGGACTGCGTGTAATGCAACTGTGGGCGTATATACTGTAACCGCTAGGTTTAGTACTTGGCGGAGTAGAAAAGTAGCTGCCGCAAGACGACGAACAGATTTTGAGCCGAAACGCATCTGAAAATTGAGTTAAGGTCTTAGACATCTTCGAACGGGTACACCTCTTGGACTAGGGCTTAATTAATAAGCTAGTTTTGGTTTAATAGATATTTGAACTTATACTTTCAATGATAATGCTGGCGACTTAGACCAAGAACATTTGATCCACTATTATTTGCGCATTGAGTCGCTTTACAATTCTCTTATGCAATATGCAATAACAGGGAATTGATACTAGGAAAGACAAATCCATTGTATTAGTTCTCGTCAGGCAGATCATGTTATGAAATTTCAAGCTCCATAGCACGTACTCTATTCGCACGACTTTTAATCCTACACTCATATAGTATACGCCGCAGTTGAGAGCTCTATAAAAAATGTAATAATCAATTAACGCCCCAAGTACAAAATGTATGTTTCGGCTCGTTTGTACGTGATTAAGAAATAACATGCGTTAGAACATTGGCATTAAAATAAATAGCTTGCAAAAGTGTCTCTAATTACGATAGTCACACGTATGTCGTGAACTGCGAGAAATTACTTTAATTCAAGGAAAATACAAACTAAATGTGTTGTTTTTACCATGTTAATACGAGGTTTTTATTGATGTATAATAATAATAATAAGTGGCGCTACAACCTCTTTAGGTTTCGGCCTCAGATTTCTGAATCTGTTTCATGATCATTTTTCAATCTAATAGGCAAGTAGGTGATCAGCCTCCTGTGCTTTTTGGGTCTAAGACACGTCGGTTTCCTCACGATGTTTTCACCGTTCGAGCGAATGTTAAATGCGCACATAGAAAGAAAGTCCATTGGTGCACAGCCGGGGATCAAACCTACGACCTCAGGGATGAGAGTCGCAGGCTGAAGCCATCAGCACAGCTCATTTTATTGATGTATCACAACCTAAAATTTTATACGAGTATTTAGCGACAGGCTCGATACGTTCTCGTTCTCTATGGGAAGTATAGACTAATCACGTGAACATATAGTATACAAATTTGAACGGTCACGCATTTTTAAGGGTAAGATCAGAGTCTTGACATAGCGCAAAGCATGTCTCCTGTATGGCAAAATCTAATACATTTTTAGCAGACCAGAGTCGCACTAATTCTCGACGGTTACTTTAAGATATTTATTTTTCATAAAGAATATTACAACATTCACTTACATGAGAATATACTTATACAATAATACGTTATCCTTATTAATTAAATGTATATTACAATAGTAAGAAAAGTACAACATCAGGCGAGAAATAGAAGAGTTTAAAAAAATACAGATTTTTTTTTAACGGTTACACAACTCAAAAAAGATTACTAGTTTTAGTATGTAATCAAAACTTGGAAACAATACAGTTTTTTTCGTCGTTAATAAGTACTAAAGTTACTAATTAACGTTAAAGATGCTTTATGTTTCATTCATATAACATATTATATAACAATTATTCATGTAACATATTGTATGTGGAGATGTATAATGGTCATCTTTATTAACCGCTATTAAAAAAACTAATTATCTTTACACTTGTGAATGTCAAATAACTATTAATTTTTTCTATCGAAACAAAAACTAAACAATAATATTCCATAAGAAGTCTGTAATTAATTATGATAATATAGTATAAAATGAGATCCGGGTTATTGAAATTGTATATAATAGGCGAAAAGTTTTCCTAGATTTTAGGAAAACTTTTCTTAGATTCAGGGCAAAATTTATTTATTTAAAAATCCCTGTAAATCAAATAACCTCTATATCACCTAGTAATTGGACGGATGTCTTATTTGTATCTCAAGTCACAATCTCGAATTGCGTTTGACCGCTCCCGAACTAGGTATTTAAATTTGATTTAGAACATCAATCAACACGGGCGACACTGTTCTTCGCCTCGCAATTGCTATTGCATTTCATTAATTCATTCGAAAGTAAATTGTCAAAGTGACAATTAACTTACAAGTACTTTTAAGTGTGTATGGCCCATCAGAGACCAAGATAAAACCCTATTAATTTGGTATTTCTGTATCTAAAATTCATTAAAAATATTATAGACATGAAAAACCAGTTAACCCAAAAGCTTGGCTGAGCTAACTAGCCTTCGTTAATTCAATGCAAAGTCAATCCTTACCTCTAAATATTGATAGACAGAGTTCGTATGGAGTCTGAAGTAAACAGGAATAAACACCAAACAGACCACAGGAAACGCCAAAATCATTCCATATAGGGTCTCCCACATTGACGATCCGAAGTACACCAGCTCAGATGGAAATCCTGAAAAAAGAATATAGATAGTTTTATATCTGTGGCGTAGTACTAGTAAAAGGCGATAATATAATATTATTTAACTATTATCACAGAAATTAGCATTACATTTAAATCCGTTATATCTCTACATTTATCCGTTACAGAGCGAGGATTTGTTAGGGTGTGACTCAGAAACATCAGTTAGCGCGAACCAGGTCGTATGTCATATAACGTATGTTTGATCGACTTAAGTCTCGTTTCTAAATCACCCTCAATGTATTAAGTACACATGTAAAACGGTGTATTGGAATAACGAATGTTTAGACGATATAAAATCTATTTCCATGACTTGACCAAATGTTATATAGATCCGACACCGATCAAGACATGGCAAGGCGACATTCGAGAACATAAAAACCGTATTCATTAGACAGGTTTGAAAATTTTTTTGCGCGTTTTTTATTAGAGGCAATTTTACATAAAATTAATTCAAATTTATTCCTCTATGATCGTTAAGCCAAACTCGTATTAAACCTATTGAGTAGCGAAATGACCCGACTTGCGTTCGGGAAATATTTTGACTTCAGTGGCACTTATAGTTATTTCATCATATGAGCTATTATAACCCTAGCTCTCATCCCTGAGCACCAATGAACCTGCTATGTGTGCATTTAACAATCGCTAGTACAATGAAGTAAAACATTGTGAGAAAACTGGCATGTCTTAGACAAAGAAGTCGACGTGTGTGTCAGGCATATAAAGACGCTATTTATTGTTTCCCTCAGTGTTTTCGTCCTTTTTACTCTAGTGTTACTTTAGTAGTTTATTGATTTATTACGTTTTTCGTTATAAGATTAATATGGCGCCAAGGTGTTATAAAAGTTTACAACTTGTTATTTATTATAATTTTGTATAATATTAGATCATTCTCTGTTTTCCATGTAAATACTATATAGTTCTTTGAGTAATCTTAATAACATAGCTTATGTATTGATATTAAATTCATTGATAAGAAACTACGAAATAGTTCATTTGTTTTTCCCGTTTAATTAGAACGTAAAAAGGTCTACTAGCTTTCAAATATCAAAATGGTTAACAGTAGTAACAATCATAAAAATTATTAATCACGTCAGGTGCAATTATTAGCCTTCAATTATTTTCGCTGGGATAAACCTAGAACTTCCGCTCCTCTCTTATAACCCAATAAATTATGAATAAAAAAAATGTGTGTGTACTTATGTACACGCGTTAGAAGTTATACTTCTTTGGCGCAACAAGATTAAAAACTTTTCGAAAAATTTAAATTTCGCCATATTCAACGTTTGTAGAAAAAACAACACTAACAATAGAAAAAAATTACTCTCATAATTTTTCCCTTACGCGCCAATATATAACTTCAAAAAAACTAAAATATTGCTACTAAAACTATAGCTAACTTCACGGTATCGGTTATGTGACGGTGTGCGCGCGCATCGTAAAAATTTTCTCTCATAATTTTTCCCTAACGCGGCAAAAGAAGTATAACTTCTAAAATATTTCTGTAAAAAGCATACTAAAGGAAATCCATAAATCAAAACCTTTAACAATGTTTTACTATAAATAACTTTGTTGAGTTGAGGTTTTCGGTTGGGTTCTACACAAACCTAACAAAACACAAATGTATATAACATTTACAAAAACGTATAATCGGAAGGCGGACATCGATCGAAAGCATTACCACATGACGTATATTATACTTCCACACGGAAATAAATTGTACGTCTCCATAATCTTTTAACGAGCACGTGTTTCAGCACGTATGAGACGGACATCATTTATTATTTTTAATTTCGTTAAACGTGACAAAATTAACCTGAAAATGTGATTTTGTTTAGGGGCCGTTCAAGTATCACGTAAGCAGATCTACTGCAATTTAAACAACAATAGGAATCCTCGAAAATGCATTTCGTTTTCAAGCATATAGACAATGTGTTGGTAATACGTGTAAAAAAGTTCCTGGGGCAGATGAAAATCTGACTTATGTAAAGTCAAAATTAGATTCAATTTTTGCTGTTAAACTCAATATAACTTGTGTCTAAAAAAAAATCTAAACATAGCCAATTTTTGACACTAAGAATTCATTTTATGACGAAAATGAATACAGAACATGATTTTGAAATTTCGACGATATATTTTATCGCAAACCAAGTATTCCATTTCAGACAAAAAAATTATAATATTACATTGATTTAATGTATTACATAACTAATTGTTATTATGGGCCTTCGCGCCTCAGTGCTCCAGCTCTCCACTGCGCACCGCAGTCCACCCCGAGACAATGACACAGCAATTCGTGGTGGGATAGGGCCTTAAGCCACTATGCCAACAACACTTGAAGGCAAATGCTTTAATAAATAAATCCATGGCGTGGATTAAACGCATCCTCGATCGCAATAATGAAAATTAAACATAAATATAAAATGTGTCTAACAAAAACAGAGTTAATATGTATTTATTTAAAAAAATATATTAAAAATTTAAATATATTTTATTTTCCTTATGTTCTCAGAAAGCCTTAACGGAGGTGCTTGGGTTTTCCAAACATTTTAATTATTAATAATTATATACCATACCACCTCATCACAAATTAGATGCTATTTAAATTGCGTTGCGGTTAGTTTTTTGTACGTAGTTGTTTTTCCATATTTATGTTTATGAGGAAATAATCCAACTTAAAGGCATATCTGTATTTATCGTATATAGCGTCAACTAATAACTTGGAACAAGAAAAATAAAAAATAAAAACAATTTTTAAATCCATTTTAGATTATTCAGTCATGACCCATAGTCATATATTTTAATTATTTAAAAATTCAAATGTATCATTAATTTCAAGAACCCGCAAAAACGCTTCTCTAGACAAGATGGCGTCGCACCAATCCCTACGACGTACCATGCCAGTAAGCACGTAAACAAACGTCAAGGTTCGTGTTATTTACCATTCTTAAATTACACAAATAAACTTTAAGATGATATTAGGAGAAGCAAAGACATTTACTGGCATGGTACGTAATTATCGATTCGTCTAATCAGTGAACGGGTCACGTGACTGAGGTATAGAAATTAATATTTTCAACTGTCGTTTTAAATAAGATTATTTTTAAGTTATTTTACTCAATAACACTTTTTAAACCCATGTTTTAAATTTTTCAGTGGCGCTACAACCTCTTTAGGTGTGGGCATCAGATTTCAGAATCTGTTTCATGATCATTTTTAAACCTAATAGGCAAGTAGGTGATCAGCCTCCCGTGCCTGACACACACCGTCGACTTTTTGGGTCTAAGACATGTCAGTTTCCTCCCGTGTGGAACACATTCACCGTCGCACGCTGAAGCCACTAGGCCAACACTGCTGTATTTATTGCGTCAATTTGCTGTAAACCCAGTCAGTTTGGCTGGACAACGCACTACCAAAGCGATGCAATTTTTCGTCAAGATTTTCAAATGTATACCGTGTTTTTTATTAATAATTGTATAGGGAAAAAGTAATACATACATACATTTTAAAACTAACCTTTTGGTTACGAAACGTAACGGCGTGTTTGATTTAAATAAGATTTATTTACCTATTAAACATTCAACAGATTCAAGATAGTATACTTATAGTATTGCAACACTATACATTTTATTCTTATATTTCCAAAATATTGTTTAAAATTGGTATATTACTATTCGACTTCATCCGGACTTGATCGAAGATTAACAAAACAATTAGGTATTAAGTTTGGTAATTTTCCAATCGATGCCCAAACATTAGTTGAAATCTAAAAATAATTGTGTACTGTTGGAAACTTGTCAAGCCACGTGGCATATAGGTACGTAAATAAACAAACAAAATGGACTTTCAACATCACCATCTCATCGATGAAAACAACATCAAATTTAACAAAATTCATGAAAACTGGGTCAGTATACAAGAGGTGTCCATCACTAAACTTTTATTGGATTACGATAAACTTATATGTATTTTTAGTACTAATAAAGGAATTTTGTGTGATGTGCTAAGATCACAGTATAGGCAAAGGAAATCAATATTGGCATAGATACCATACTTTTCCGGATTCCGTATCGCGAATATAAATTTTACAAACAGGTGATGTGATGTTATTGCTGATTGGCTTTTTTACACTACGAAGGCGAATTACTTAATGTACTGGCAATATCTTGGAAAGATTACTACAAAAACACTTATTTTTTTCTAAAATAAAACAGAATCAACCAGCTAATAGGAATTGAAGCGGCAAAAACCAGAAAAAGATATGTTTACTATCAAATCAGCATCAAATATGTCTAACATAGTAATAATGTAACAGATTTTTGAAGTTATACTTCTTTAGGCGCGGTATGAAAAATTTATGAGAGTGAAATTTTACGATGCGCGCGCACCCTGACACAAAATTATCAGTATGGGCGCCGAGCGTGCACGAGCGAGATGGGAATAAGACAATCTACAAGTAAAAAGAAATAGAATATGCGTGACGTTAGCAGCTATGCCAAGAATTTTGAATGACCATAATGACATTTGTAGTACCTTTTAAACAAATAAAGGAGTTTTAATCATTTTTTCAAAGAAATTTAGCAATGCTTTTTCACAAAGACCTATTGTTACTTTGTTAAAAAGGTTATGAAACATACCTAGTTATTAAATTGAATTAATAATATAATAAAATAATAAATAATGATTATTATTAATATTAATTAATAATTGAATAATATACTAAATATTAAGTAAATATTGTTAAATTATTAACGCTAAATATTTATTATTAATTATTTAATATTTAAAAAAAATAAAGAAAGCCAAAGAAGTATAACTTCTTACGCGCGTACATAAGTACACGCACCATTTTTTTTAATAGAATCTCGCTATTAGCATAAAGGGACTTGAGAGCGTAGCACGGCTGGAGTGGGCTTTTCCCGCGACTAGCGCAAGGGCGTCTCCTATGAGACTCAGACCTCGGCTTGGGCCTTCGCGGGGTTCTCAATCGCCTGAAGGGCATTAGTGAGCAGAGTACGTAGTAAATATACACGCCTTCCCTGGTGAAGGTGGTTTTTTATTTAATCACTAATCTGATTTTGATTTCGCTTTGTCGCGCGGGCGGCTTTTAAAGTGTCGTAACAGTCTCTCTAGACCATCTTATAAATACTAAAAGACAAAGCCCTTGTAAACATAAAAAAACGTTTTTTTTTTTTTTAAATCAAATATATATACTTACTCTAGTATTTAAGGGTTTATTTAGTTAGAATGTGGTAATTGCCACCATTATAAAATTAAAGACAAAACAACTTTTAAATATTTTCATTCTATAAAGAATGAAAGTATTCAGCATCTCCTTCATTTTTAACCTCATAATGCCCTCTACCGAATCTGTTTTTTATGTGAAATTATTGGCTTCATCAGTTAAAGCACATTTCTAAGTCGACTTAAAAAAAATTTTTTTATACAAATGGAGGGATCCATTTCCACTCTATATTTTACACTACGAAGGTACTACATAATGGATTAACTAATTTATGCAAAACTTTAGTTTGCCAAAATCTCACTTACCTAAAAACGACCGTACACCCAATGTCCCCCTCGCCACAGACAGCATCATTGAGAGTACCGACACCCCTCCTCCAGCGAAAATATAGGCTCTTTTGGCACTCCCGGCCGCTGCAGCATCCTTCTTCCGACTCCAGAGGGGCAAACATGATGACCCGCATATGAACACCGCGAAAACTATACACTCCCACGCCAGCCAGCCTGAGTTCATGGTAACTGAAACAAAAAAAAACCTAAATATGTTTTACAGATGAAAACTTCGTCAATGATAAACTTCTTACCAGCCAGGTCTGTTGATTTTGATTAATGAAAAGGTTTAACACTAACAAATGCTATCTTGTATAAAATTACATTAAAGGTTTTACTGCAACATTAATTCATTCAAAAAAGGATTGTTTTTGGTAAGTTTCCTAGAAAAGCGGTGCCGTTATCTAACGGCCGTAATGTAACGTTGGGTAACGTCACGCATACGTTGTCTATAAATAACATCGGAGTAGGTTTTCTAGATAACGTTGAGTGTCGCCGTAACGTCTAATAGCGGTGCTGTCATTTGCATGACGGCCGTCATAGCGGTGATAAACAGTAGTTCAACGTATTTCGCGTGTAGCGGTGCGCATATTTAATTAATACAATGACTTGGACGAACGAAAATGATGAACAATTAATTGATTTTGTTAAAAATCATGTACAACATCGAATCCAAAGTGTACAGACAAGCTCAGCAGCAAAATTTGTGGAACGAAATTGGAATAACACTTCAAAAATACGGTCGCACTACTTTCTAGGAAACCACAGCTTGGCCACCGTAAAGACGGCCGTTAGTTAACGGCACCGCTTTTCTAGGAAACCGTAGCTTTAACAGCCGCATACCACTAGATTTTGCTATGCAACATGAGGTTGCCAGTTCACATCACTACCACAATTTAATAAAAAACAATACAGAATGGATTTATATAAATACTTTAGGTAATCAATCGTTTTATGTGGTTCCACGTAGAAGATGATAATGCTGCTCTACGTAATGCTCCAGTTAAGAATGCTATCTCTATAACAAAACTGTATATAACAGAACCTTATTTGTAAACTAATTATTGCATCTCATTTGTCTTATATATGGTAATTTTTAAACAAAAGGTTATTGTCAATTAAATAAGGTTGTTACTTAAAAATATATTGAAAGTAATTAACGATCAAGACGAAATATTTCAAAGGACATTTAAGACATAAGTCTTTGTACGAATGATTTTTAATTGCATTTCAGTATTCCGACTTAATGTATATACTTACAAAATTCTATAATTTGACGCCATTTAGATTTTAATGCACCAAATTATACACATCTATACAAAAAGATATGTCAAACCCTGTAACTTTAGATAATTTTACTATAATTTTACCTATAAAATATAAATGCATGCTTTATTACTAATGAGTTGAGTGCAAATACAGCCCTAGGGTGTGAACATAATACCAACTGCACGATATATATATATGACAACATAATATAGACACATACATGTATATTTATTATATATTATGTAATAACTATTGGTAAAATAATCACGAGTTTAACGAGCTATATACTCGTAAATGTACTCATCGCTTGGCGACTAATGCCAAGTGCCAAGTTTCCTGCTGGACAAGAAAATCAAATTTTAGACTATCATCTAAGCCAAGCCGCTTTCTTTTTACGAAAGTTTATATTTACGAATACGGTTTTTTTTTCTTTAATTTTCAAACATTCATGGAAACCCAATTAAATAAAAAAAATTACCTTTCGGCCTAAGTTAACGTATGGTCTTTAGAAAAAATATTTTTGATTCCAACAAATGTATAAAAATTATTTATGTTGTTAAGGCGTTATCCGGTGTGTAATAGTTTTGTCGCAATTATATTATAACTGCTTAAATTACTGTAACGTTTACTGTGCGACATTCTGCAATCATGATGTCAGTGGAGGCAGAACTATTGAATTTTTTTAAACGGTGATTAAATATAATGTTTAATACTAAAAGCTGAACCATTAATTTGCTCGGTTTAACGCTCAAATCTCCGGCAATGGTTTTCATTAAAATTATGTTTTGACTCATCGATATATCAAGAATATACGTATATCACAATTTAATCGGCGGTTTAACGCGGGTAAAACCGCGAGGTACAGCTACGAAAATGAACTTACATTTAATAATGTGAATTATTTTTGCGAGGTTGTACTTGACGCGGTCCAAACGTTGATAGTTACGCTCGAAATAAACATTTGGAATCCCTTTTTTATAGTAAAACATACAGCATCACAAAATTACAACTGTTATCAGGTAAAGAACCAGGAACCAAGAATAGAATTACAACCAAGCTTAAAACAAGCTTGGTTGTAATTCTAACGGGGTTAGGCTTCAAAATGCAACAACGGTTGAAGCTAGGTATAGCTAGCAATGTATAGATATTATTATGTTAAATGTACATTAGTTAAACGTACGATTTAATAGAATTCTTATAAAAACAGAAAATTTTATAATACAACATGTATAAAGGACAAGAATAATTTTGTAAACATCTCAACATACCATAATTGGCCGCGCTTTTATTATTAGTCCATGACAGTAAACATTATAATATGTAACCATTAAATTGTTTTTGCTTCTTGTGAGAGTATGACGACGAGGGATCACAATTATGTGAAAATTAAATTTTCGTAAACAACAAACCGCCGTTTGTTTATTACCCAATCAGCTGACTTTTGACATTTAACAGAATCACCACAGAAACAATTATTAATTATGACTACTATAGGATAATAACAGTAGTCTGTGCTTTATTTGTAAACAAGTGTCCAATGGCATGAAACTGGTTTATTCTTCGATTGAATATAGTAGTTTATGACATGAATGATTCATTACGTATTTTTAAGCATATTTACTACGACTACGCTTTCTTAGGATGTTTATGTCGTTTTTTTTTTAATTTGGGAAAGATAGTCAACATAAAAGTTTAACTAAAGTTCGTATGGTATTTGAAACCATGGTACAAACGCGATACCGAGTACGTGTACGCGTACGGCCACGTATTATAAAGTTTTAAGGGTAGTTAACTTACATATACGTTCACACAGATTTACAAAAATCAAGATTCCCGTCCAGATTTTATACAGGAGCCTAGAATAAGATAGCTGGTTTGATTAGCTAGTTTGACTTACATAATATTATTATTAACATAATTTAAAAAATAAATAAAAATCATACTTTTACAGTAAGTATGTCACCGTAAAATTGTAAATACCGTTAGATTGTAATCTATCTCGCGATCACCAACTTGCCTATTAGATTTAAAAATGATCATGAAATAGATTCAAAAATCTGAGGCCAAGGCCTAAAGCGGTTGTAGCGCCACTGATTTATTTATTTATGTCAGAATTATTGATTACCTACTAAGTAATGAATAAATACTTGATGTCACAATTCTTGAAGTGCAGTCATTTTATTTGACTGATACCCGTGTTTCATTCCTAACTATATGGACATAGAACGGTCTATTATAAAGCCGACCAATCAGGGACAGCCTGCGGACTGTTGACAATTTTAAGATTGTAATTTGACGGTTTCACTTCGATAGACTACAATCTACCGAATAATAATACGTTAAATTGAAAGCAGTACGTTGACTGTTGAGGTTCACAATCTTTCGACAATTCACAATCTCGCGAGATAGATTACAATCTAACGGTATTTACAATTTTACGGTGACATATATACAAATCAAATAAACTGCCAGACCTAAAATTTACTGCAAAATATTATCAAAAGTAGCTAAGTACGAGTATATGACAACTTTATACATTTAATAGTTATGGTTAACAAGCACTGTAAAGACCTGTTTGAGAGGTACCGGACATTATTTTTGTACACATAATATTGTTGTAATAATAGTGTAATACGCGTTCGTCATTATTAAACTTTTTTTTTTTTAAATAAAATAGAATTTGTGTTAAGTATTAGCTTTCTTACACTACTGTATTAAATTCAGTTTAGTAGTTCTACATCTTTACGCTTTAGTTGTATGTCCTTTGACAAGACTATATAAGCACAGACTATTGTAATACACCTGTAACTGTGTATATAATTATTCATCTCTAACCATCCGTAATGTCCATAAAGGAATAGGGTATCACTGCTCAATTGAGTTTGTACCAGCTAGGCGCCGTTTACAATCGCTATATAGGCTTGCGGCCAATTGACTTGTTAGAAGCACGTGACCATCGATAAACATACATACATTGAGATAAGTTACATCTAAAACGACAAACTTGTATTCACAAAATGTGTGAATGAGATTGAGAGAGAAATATGTTTTGAAGCCAAATCAAAAATTAGTTTTGGACCTCTAAGTATTCTTACTCCACAAAACGAGAATTTACCCTAGCACAATCTAAAAAAATTTAGATTTTAAAAAGATTTTAATTAATAAAATTCAAACAGCAAAAAGTTCTAAAATCAGTATTTTTAATTGCTAAGCTAAGATTAACGATTAATTATGGTGACGTCACGCTTCGTAAAATGTTACTCGAGAGATTAACAATGCATTACGCAGGTAGCATAACCTTTGTTGAACTTGATCAAGAACATGTGCCGTTTGTTTTATTATGAACTCCGTATCAAAAAGTTCGATATTCCTAGAATACTATATAATTACTGTGTATAACATTATACACATATACAATAATATCTTATTTGAGTTATATATAAAGATTCGTTTCTTCTTATTTCGTATAATCTAATATATAATCGTGATGATAATATCAGTGATAATATTAGTGGAAAATTTAGTTAAGAAAAACGCCGAAGACCAAATATAATATATTATTATATAGGTAGATAAAACAGTCTTCCCATTGGAATGCGTAACAGAGTTATAATATTCACAGAACACGATACAAGAAGTCAGACAACGAGCTCATGACGTCATGTCCTACTTGGCACTTAAAACAAAATTTACAATTTTGTGACTACAAAATATATAGTGCACGTATCCAGTTTTCACTTTTATTGCTCGATCTTTAAAATTATCTATTTCCCCATGTAAATAGATCTATTTATGCGATGTTGTCGTATAAAAAGTATATATCTTACATATTAAATTACAAAAAAAAAATCAGTGGCGCTACAACCTACTTAGGTCTGTGCCTCAGATTTCTGTATCTGTTTCATTATCATTTGT